GAGGCCAATTACTTATCATTCCTACTTGTTAAGTAGCCAACGGTTTAGGACCACGAAAAACACAATATAACATCTAGGTGAAATAATACATTTGACGCTATGTTGCTGCGCGTTATTCATGTTGCAGATTCTTATTTGTTGTTTAACGCTGTAGGTGTGCGAGCTCATTTTACTTCCTTCCTATTTGATTTCTTCGCTTGTCCATTCTTTTTTGGTGGATTCACTTCATGATACGGAATCTGCTCCTTCTGTAAGTCGGTTCCGGACGTTTACTACTTGACCTCGGAACCAGTACTCTTCGGAGACTTAGCTCGTCCTTCGCTTTTCTGACCTCCGACTATGTCCTCTTAGGTGTTCCGACGCAATGGAAGGGAAAGAGCTTACAGTTCAGATGCATATTCATTTTTAGACCCCTTATATCTCTCTTCTGTCTGGGTAGGTCAGATCGGCCACCGCAGGGATCACACTAGTAGATGCCCTTTGAGCTCTGTCTAAAAGGTCTACGTCACCTTTCAAGCAAGGATTTGCCACCAATATACAGTTTTCTAATTTAGACCTAACTGAGGATGTGTGAACATGTCACGAATTGTTTTCATAAACTTTCCACGTAGTGCCCGAAGGGTCCTAAAACTCCGAGCTGCTACCGGTCTACAGTGTGCCATCGTTTTCAGGCCATAACTCACTGCGACTCCCGCATCACTGCGGGTCAGTACATATGGTAGAGGAGTCCCATGAATGTCGTAAGTGTTGCCACGTGTTTGCCCCAAGTGCCTGCTCACAAATTTACTTTCCTTGATAGGTATCAGTCACTTCTGTGACCAGGCAAATGAGCTCTTTAGGTCCGCTTGAAGTGCAAGTATATCCTCTTCAACCGTAATTTTCCTCCAGATTTTCACATTATCAGCGTAGAGAACCATAAGGAATTCCGTGATATTTGGCAGCTCGTTCATATACAGGAGAAATGGCAGGGGACCTATGAATGTACCCTGAGATACTCCGCTTTCTACTGACATCCAAGAGGATGGTGGAGAATTGATCCTTACTCTTTGTCTCCTACCAACAGGGAACTCTTTTCTCCATGCAGGCAAACTCTCAGTGATTCGAAAACTTTCCAGTTTCCAAGCAACCTGTACTGAGACACCCTATCGAATACTTTACTAAATTCTGTGAAAATGACATACACAGGTACCGTACATTAGATTTAACCTAACTTGCTAAGATTACACTTCTTTTCGGAAAGCTGTCACTATATTTGATTCAGTAAGTCTAGTCAACGATGCCAAAAGTAAAGTCGATGTTTTTCGCTCAGTATCCACTTCCTCTTCGTAACTTCAGCTGAAAAATATTTTTCTGCAAGTTTTGTTTAGTCACGTTAAAATCTACCATTGTCAAGTTATTATAAGTTTTATCTAATATAAACGTTTTCACGTAAACGCGGGTTTTCAGGTTGTGACTTTCCCGCTGAATGAAGTGTCAGTTACATGGTAAGAATTTTAATTTCCAATAAGGATTTTTATTAAATGATACTTTCAGAATTTCACTTATCCAATAATTCGTGATCAACGGAAACGATGTTCATCATTTTCTTTTGTTCTCTCCTACCATCTCCTCTGAGGTGTTCTGACCTGACAAAAAAAAATTTAGGTTGTTTAAATCCTGTATAGCATGTGTAAATCTCTTTTTGGTCTCTGATGGGATAGGAAGGTATTCAGCTTGTGAAGTCTTTTCCGTAGGTCAGGTTGGCCACTGAAGAGACCATACCTGCTGACTTCCTCTAAGCTCTTTCTAGAACGTTTAAGTCACCTTTCAGACAAAAATCTCCCGCTTTTCACAACCCTATAGTTTAGGTCAAACCAAGGATGTGTATAAAGTGGTGAATATGTCACCACTTATCATAGTTCACTTCGATTCATTGTTCAAATTATCCTAAATCACTGAGCTTCGATCAGTCGATGGCTTGTTATGTTTTCTTATGTTATGAATCCCAGTACTTTGTTGGTCAGTACTGGAGGTAGAAGAACCCCAGCATTATGGCAGATGTTGCTGTCTGGATCCCCTATGTACATACTTGTATAATTAACTGCATTGATAGACATCAGTTATTTCACAGATCAAGTTACCATAATGGTTAGGTTTATATCAGTCGTACGAATATCGTTTTCATCCCTTATTTCTCGCCATCTTTTTACATTAGCATGGAGAACTATGGAAAGACTGACAAAACCAACGTAGAACCTAGCATACAGGTTTATTGGTTCAAGTTACCACACTTCACTCCAAAATATCCAATTATGTCTTTTGCCTTGTACTAATCGTCTTCAATTACCTGACTATTTTATATCTTTTTGACGAGGGTAGGAGTACCACGATTCATCTTATTCCTAAAGTTCACATAAGAGAATAGCCTCTTCTGATGTTTCTTTTGTATCGTGCATGAGATATGTTTCAAAACATGTTCTGAACTGCTGGAACGAAGCAGTATTGGTATTTGAGACTTCTTAGTAATGTTTCTGAACGACTATCGATCGCTATTTCTGATCTCCCTAATAATCCTCCCACTAGCCTTTATCTCCATTGATCATCACTTATGCTAATCAGTTAATATGACCAAATTGACTGCATATGGTTGTATTCAAGTCCCATAGGAATGGAAAAGGAGCTACTACGCATGCTGTCGTGGGCTGTCATCTACTGTCCTTCAAGATTGTTAAGAAAATCATCAAGGTAGCATTCATCACAGACAGACAGTTGGAGAACCACTAAAAGCTTGAGAGCACTGGACATCATTTTGGTTTTAGTATGGAACTCCTCAACAGTATTTAATCAGCTAGAGATTGAACTTAGGAATTTCAGGTTTTACGGCAAATATATTAACCATTAAGCTACTGGGTCTGAGTTCAACGGTTCACAGTTTCCTACTTCTGTTAATTCGCAATATAGCACTACTATCATCCAAGGTCTTCAGTTGGGATCCGCTTGGCTACCAACGGGTTGATCCCACAGGTCACGGCTTCTCATTAGAACTTCGAAGCATGTCACTTATGAGCGCAATACAGTAATTCATTTTGAGGTTATTGAAGATTTAATGTTTAAGGTAGCTTTTATCATGGACTGAAATCAGTTGAAGAACCATTGGAGATCTGGGAGCACTAAACACTCGTTTCGTTGCAGTATGGGACTCCTCAGCAGTATGCACCCACAATCTGTCTAAGGATCAAACTAAGGACCTCTAGGTTTCAATGGTGAAAAACTATTGGTTCTATAAATTATATTTACCAATAATTAGATTCATTCAAACCGCATTTATAGCGCTCTAGGAAATTATTTCAACAACCCTCTGAATATCCTTACCATATTTGTAATACCTGTTTTCATAAATATTCCCACCAACTTGTTGTTTACGCGTTCACTGTTTGTTTCAGTAAAGAACCTCCCGAATTCATCGTTGCTCCGCTGTCCTCTCCATAATTTGAAAATAAATAAGGTCAGAAAATCAAATTGGCATTATCAGTAGCTGTAATCTCACTGCTGACTAGGTGGCGACGAAAAGTGTGTTATTCCTCTTCTAGCTCTTTTATCATTGTTTAGGATTTACTAATAATTCCTGGAAGATCTTTTGCCGATTTGTTGACATTGTCCTATTGCTAGAAAGTTCATATACCTACAGTTGTCAGTTATCGATGTGTGAGGTTAGTAAGACAACTCAGTTCGCTGATAATCACATTCACAACTACTTTAATCAATTAAAATAGAAAATGTTACTAATGTCCTTCGTGACTTATTACTCGGCATTTTTCTTTCTGTTTTATTAGTCTCATTTGTGAGTGGCAGTGCTTGGGAACGAATTAGCGTTCTCAGTACTAACTGACTTTGAAGTCTTTTTGCTCTGGCACAGTAGTCTAGGGAGTCCCGCTCTACCAACGGAGGTTTAGTCAGCCAGGTAGCAATAGGTGTTCATATGGTGGCCAAGTATGAGGTTTCATTTATTACAGAAGCATTATAAGTGATTTTCGAAAAGCTTTTTTCGAGCCATATGGTGGTTGCACCAGCAGAGGATTTTTCACTACAAATAAGTTTTTAAAGTTTTTGTTTTCATTTACCTATTTGTTCCGAATGACTGAATAATTGCTAGACTAGATTGATAACACAAGCTTTCAGCAGCTCTGCCAATCAGTAAAGCAATAAGCAGTAGTGGTAGTTCCTCAGTGGTAACCGTTACTGCTGACTCTATGAGAACATGTGGTTCGTCTAACCCACTGGGCTTACATACCAATGCTAAAGCTCTGAAAAAGTCATAAAATGACTTTAAAAGGAAGCTCACAGAGCGAGAAACTTGATAACCCATAATTTGAAGATAGAAATATAAGTCATTCAGCAGTCACAAACCTCACAAATGAGCTATTTGGGCCCCTATTGACCTCCTGTAGGATTGCATTACATACACTGATTTTCGTGTTATCTAGTCATAAGTGCTAACAAAACCATGTTGATAACGAAGAAGTGCGGTCAGAACGTTAGAAGACTGACCACTGCTGTGCCTCCAACAATCTGATATCAGTTAAAAAGCACCATGATGCCAAGTCGCCTAGCTTGGGAAGTACATAACAAAACGGTTGATATGATTTGGTCAGCGCTGAGGACTAGACAACATAATAGCTTAGTTCTGAGATCGCCAACTGCAACACTGATTGCTGTGGTTCCGATACAGGGCATCCTGATGGTTGCGTGTAAATAACTACCACCTAAAATAGTCCAGCATACTTACATGCAGTGTATTACTTTCTGTTTACGATTGTAAGACATGGCTACTCAGAGTAAATAACGTTAAATTGTTCCGTTCATCATAACATCGGTACCTTAAGAATACTTCCCATGTTTGGTGGTAGAACAACTGGAGTTAAATTTTAGTTTATTGGGCAAGAAATTCACGGGGGATAGTGATTCTGTAAAATTACCCTGATTGAGTTTTCTTTGAAATGTATTACGTTCACTAGAATGGGATTAAACTGAAGTAAAAAAAAAACTGTAGCTGATCCCAGAAACACATTACACTGACTAATGTGTTTGTTCCCCCTTGGATTTTGTGAGTCATGTACTGGAGTGAGAGTTAACTGATTGGGATCATCAAAAAGTAAGAAGCCAATGACATGAGGTCTTTCTCGTCATCGCACACTTCCGTGAAACTCTGAAGAAATAGAGGTTAGTTTCTTAGTCATAAAATTTATCTAGAATGGTCCATTTTTTGTAGTCTATTTTAAGTCAGATAGAAGGAAGAAAAATAAAATCAACGTTGAACTTCGCAAACAAGTTGATCGCCTGAAGCTGCCACACACTTCACAATAGTTTACAAAAAACAGGCGCATAGAAAAAGAGTGGTATTCAAGAAGATAAAGTTGTACGAGAGGATAAACAATTTGAAGATAAAAGTTAATGTGAATATTTAAGCCTTGGGATATGTAAAGAAGTAAACTTTTCTGCGCCATTGTGACTGATTTTCAGCCATGTCACCAAAGTCCTCAATCACTGATTTCTATCGTCTTGGAGAGCCCAACTAGTCAACCAGCCTACATCTCCCAACACGGCTCGGACCATAAGACAGGGACTTCATCGATTGGCAACACGTATTGATCTGGGCACCCTAAACCCTCTTCCAATCTAGCATGACACATAGAGGTAAGCACTGGTGGGTCGGCATGTCCAAGCCATCTCAGTCGACTAAGATTCACAACCTCATCAAGCTACTTGTCTATCTTGCCTCGTACCCTTCGCCTGAACTCATCGTTGCTCACAGGGTGATATCACTAAGTGCTGGTAATGCTACGAAGACTTCTGAAATCGAAACCCAGCAATCGCTTCATCTCTTCTCCCTTCAATGCTCGTCTAAGCCGTATAACAGGATAGAATGAATTGCAATGCAGTATACTCATCGTTCGATAGATAGTCGGATATCTCACCAGTCGGTGCCACAAATGACGCACGTTGGCTAATGCCAAACAGGCTTTCTGTATCCTAGTTGAGATTTTGTCAACAGATGAACCGTTATGGCTTATACAACTCCTCAACTTGATTTAACTGATTACTGTCTTCTTGGTGAGTGGACTGAACTATACCGTGCCTTTTAGTCTAAGATTATAGTTACCCCGTTCTCTGGAGCTCCATAAATATCTTACATTAAGACCCAGCGTCAAAAGTAGTTTTCGTCACAAATTATCACCAGTTGAAGAACAACTGAAAATATGGAAGCACTCGACATCTGTCTTGTACTAACTTACGATTCCCTAGTAGTACGCACTACTGGTCCAGAATCCAGTCTTTTACTATTTCCTACTTCTACCGCTCCACTAGATACCACGGCCAATAAATTCAAACTTCAAACAGATGACAAACAGTTAATCTATTCAAATTTTTGTTTTACAGTTCATGATAAAGTATAGTTGAACATGATGAAGCAACAGTGTAAGAATGAGATTCACGAAAACCCCACAAATAATCTACGTTTACTTGATTATCAGTAAGTATACTAATATGATCCACTTTTGAATATTACCGTTTAATTCAGATCAAAAAAACTACATAAAGATTCTACTCAGCTATTAAATAAATTATCATTTCATCATAAAGAAATTAAACTGATTTTAGATAATTATGAAGATTTGAAATCAGCACTACTAACAGATGGTAGTTTGCTTCTTTTTTAATCATCATTATCATTTATACAATGTACCATAATTTGATTGATTCGTTTAGGCAAAAAGTATTATAACAGATTGTTCAAGTTTCGAACATTAGTAGAAGCATTCAGTACAAAGAAAGCAAAGATTACAAACAAAGAAGCAAGACATAGTAGTTGTATGTAGCCTCTGTGTTTTAAACAGAGTTGAAAATTATTGAGATATTTTCAAATAGGTATTATAAAAGATTTGCAAGAACTAATGCAAAGTATCGAAGAGATCTTAACAGAAAATAAAGCGGAAGAAAGAATGATGTAAGTGATTTTATTTCAATATATGGTTTGTAGACATTTATTGGTCTGAAAGTAGTTTTCCTCACATGCCATCATTATCTGAACACGCAGGGAAAGCTGGACAACTTTTTTGTTCCAGTTTGAAACTACTCACCAGTGTTTCACCCTCGACTTCAAGAGCAATGGAACCTAGGAGCATCAAATCACATGTGGAGTGTGTTACCATCTAGCCGTTATTTCCTACTCCTGTCAACTCGCTGTATAGCTTATCCATAATCCAATGTCATCGATGGATATCCGCCTCCCTCCCGACTTTAATCACCCTACAGTTCAAAGTTTTCCCTCTTTTGTGGCCGACCAAAACACAAGTGTTTCCGGATCTTAATCCAGTTATGGAGTGTGTACTTTGCAAATACCTGATTTGTTTCTTGGTATGATCAGACTTCTGAAGCAGCTTGTCATAATGTAAGTGGTTTGAACTATTTGTTTCACTAAGCTGAGTTGATTCGAGCATACTGATGATAAAGTCGGCACCAAACGACTAAAACAACCGTACACCGATAAGGTCACCTTGATCATCCTAACTTGTCTACAAATGTTCATGTCACTCAGATTTTCCAAGCGGTTGATACTACACTTTGGGTAGTTTACTGCTGATCGGCTATCAGAAAATGAAAGGATTTCATCCTAGCTAAAATTTAACTGCAGAAAATCTTCTTAGCGAAATAAAAGAACCATTTCCCAAGACTATAATGATTATCTTTTCATTTTATTTTCATGATTAGCGCTGAGGCTTTACTTCAACAAGAAGTTGATTTATGGCAAGATTGTTTAAATTTGGAGCGTCAAATTGACTATTGGGAGAATGACTCTAAAATGGGGGAGAAAATCAACTCAAAAAGGCAGAATAAAAGACAATCAATTAATTTATCTGCACGCTTAGGCATCACAAATAATCTGCCAGCAGAAATCTGTGATTTTCAGGTGAGAGTTCTGTAACACAACTTTGATGAAATAAAAAAATGATCGATTTGAAGTCTCGAAATAAAATATCGGTTTAACTGTAAAATCCTTCACATACGGTTTACAAACCTGTACTATTGGTGTCATTGAAATCTGATTGTTTGTTTCAAAGGTCATTCTGATAGCCGACCTTCGCGTATAATATATATATATATATATTATTAGTCCCTTGGGTTCCTAGTGGAACATAGGGCTTCAGTAGCACGTCTCCAGTGAACTCTGTTCTCTGAGATCTTTTGAACCTGGTTCCACGACAGCCCACAAGCTCTCATTTCCTCTTCGCACGACCTCCTCCATGTCACCCTCAAAAAGGACGTCCAACTCGTCGCTTCCCATGGGGATTCCACTCGAGAAAAAGGCCTGACGCGTGATGTCCCCAGTCGGCCTTCTCAGTGCATGCCCAATCCATCTCCACTTCTTCCTGCATATTTGTTGCGTGATAGGTTCTTGGTTGGTTCGTTCCCAGAGTTCCTTGTTGCTTATTCTTTCTGGCCATCTGATCTTCAGTAAAAAGCGAGCGTAAGCAGTTGTTGATGAATGTCTGTAGTTTATTGGAAATGCCTTTCGTGACGCGCCAAGTCTCTGAACCATACAGGAGCACTGACTTGACGTTGGTGTTGAAAATCCGTATCTTGTTCCGCATGCTGAGTGCAGAAGATCTCCACACTGGTTTCAGGCTAATGAACGCCTGTCTTGCTTTTCCGATTCTGACTTTGACGTCCTCGTCCGTTCCGCCTGTAGTTGAAACAGTGCTTCCTAGATAAGTGAAGGAGGTTACTTCCTTTAAGTTTCTCCCGTTGACGGTGATTGGAGTTTGTTGTTGTTGTTGATGGTGGTGGTGCGGTATCTTCATCACTTCTGTCTTCTCTATATTCACCTGAAGTCCCGTCTTCGCTGCCTCTTCTATCAACTTGTTAGTTTTTGCCTGCAGATCTTCAAGTTTGTGTGACATTAGGCACAAGTCATCGGTGAAATCCAAGTCTTCTAGGTTCTTTTCCTCAATCCAGCGTATCCCCCTCTTCTCGCTCCACACTGTTTGCTGCATGATCCAGTCCACCACAATCAGGAATATCATGGGGGATAGTAGGCAACCTTGTTTCACTCCTGTCTTCACTTCAAACGCATCACTGAGCTTCCCATTGTGAATTACTTGGTATGTGGCATCTTCATATAGTTGTTGAATGAGGCGGATAAAGGTTTGCGGTACTCCGTAGTATTGAAGCAGTTTCCAAATTACTTCTCGGTCGACGCTGTCAAAGGCCTTCTCAAAGTCGATGAAGTTGAGGTAGAGAGCTGATTGCCATTCTATGCTCTGTTCTATGATGATGCGTAGCGTTGCAATTTGGTCTGCACATGATTTGTTTTTTCTGAAGCCTGCCTGTTCCGGTCGCAGTTTTGAATCCAGTGCATCTTTAAGCCTCTCCAGGATGATGCGGCTTAATATTTTACTTGGGGTGGACAGGAGAGTGATTCCGTGCCGGTTCTTGCAAGCACTGAGGTCTCCTTTCTTCGGCAGTTTGACAAGGTAACCCTTCTTCCAATCAAAAGTCAGGTACCTTCTCTTCCTTCCACACCTTCTGCAATAGTGGTGTGAGCATGTCGGCTGTTGTCTCTGCATCTGTTCTCAGTGCTTCTGGCGGTATTCCATCTGGTCCTGCTGCTTTACCGCATTTCAGTAGCTTTATGGCGTTCAGGACTTCCATTTTCGCTGGGGGATTTATGTTCACTTGTAATTCAGCGGCTGCAGGTGGTATTTCTGGACGAAGTGCAGGTGGTGGTCGATTCAAGAGCTTCTTGAAGTGGTCGGCCCATCGTTTCCTTTGTTCCTCTTCTTTCGTAATTAAATTTCCTTCTTCATCTTTTATTGGTTTCATCTGTGTTCATCTCTTCCCTGATAGCAACCTAGTTATTTGATACAATGTCGTCAGGTCTCTCTTACCTGCAGCCTGTTCTGCTTCACTTGCCAGTGTTTCGTAGAAGTGTCTTTTGTCTTTCCACGCACTCTTCTTCACTTCTTTGTCCAGTGTTTTATACATCGTGCTCAGTTCCCCTTGTCGTTGAGCATCCTTGCGCTGGTTTATCTTCTGCTTCATCGTCCTCCTCTCCTCTATCAGCTTCCAGGTATCCGTCGAGATCCATTCCGTGTCTTCTTTCTTCTTCCTTCCTAATACTGTTGTGCAGGTTTCTTTCCACATAGCTTTCAAAGACTTCCAGTGTTCTTCCACACAGGTTTCTTCAGGGATGTTGCTCGATATCTCCCATTTTGTCTTGATGGCTGCCGTGAAGATCTCCTTTGTAGTTTCATCCTTCAGTTTCCGAGTGTTGTACTTGAATTGAGGTCTATCACCAGCTTCCTTGAAGGCTTTTAACTTGATTTGGTAGGTTCCTTGCACTAGATAGTGGTCTGAACCTACATCTGCTCCTTTCCTTGACCTTGTGTCAAGTAGGCTGCGTCTCCATTTTCTTGAGATTGAGATGAAGTCGATTTGATTTTTAGTGTGTCCATCTGGTGAAATCCATGTCGCTTTGTGGATATCTTTGTGCCTGAACACACTGCCTCCAATCACCAAATCGTTGAATGCACAGAATTCTGCAAACAATTCTCCATTCTCATTCATTTCACCTAGCGCCTCTCGACCCATGGTTAGTTCTCTTCCCGTGTTGTCCCCTCCCAGTTTGGCATTCATGTCGCCCATTAGAATTTTGATATCGCCAACTGACGTCTTGTCCAGTGTTGATTGAAGTTGTCTGTAGAATTCCTCCTTCTTCTCTTGCTCTGCATTATTTGTAGGTGTGTAGCGTATCATTGTATGATTGTGACCTTTCTTCCTTTTGAGTTGAATCTTGCTGTCATGATCCTGGAAGAGATTGGTTCCCACTGTATGAGAGCCTTCGATGCTCTTGAGGACATCATGATAACCACTCAAAAACTCAGTGTGCAAAAATCGTGGTTGTCGTCTGGGTGACAAAAACGGAGTAGATTATTGATTCTCCAGTTGACAGTTTGGAGAGTCCACTCCCATTCCATCTGCTTTCGCAAATCCCAAGCACTTCGATGTTATACCTTCTCATCTCCTTTGCAATCTGGGCTGCCTTATTGGGTTCAAACATGGTGCGGACATTCCATGTCCCCACGTTTACTTTCGCTTTCATCGAGAGAAGACACATCGGCCAATTGGCTTCCCGAAAAAAGGCTTTCACCAACTGTCGTCATTTTGCCTCTCCGATTCCAGCGGGGTATAAGTTTGTTTTCATTTTTTATATTTTATTTGTGCTTTGAAGTTTGTTTAGCGGTTAGATTTGTTTTACGGGGTAGGGTTGCTAGCCTATGCCCAACCTTCCCTCTTTACCCGGGCTTAGGACCGGCTAGTAACTAGTGAACTAGTTAACCAGGCGAGGTTAATATATATATATATATATATATATATATATATATATATATATATATATATATATATATATCGATTGGAAATAAAGATTACAAGTACATTTCTTCAGTAAGATCAATTTCTTTGTTAGTTGGTTGGAGGTAATTCGGTGGTTATCCCTGGACCTAGCTAATTCGAAGTAACTGATGTCACCTATGAGGTTCGAACCCACGCCACCAAGCGCTGCAACCGAAGGCGCTACCCCTGAGCTATTTGGGCTGTAGTTGGTCTGGTGTAGGACTCAACTACATTCATTGACTGGTCAGAGGAAAGATATTGATTTCAAATTATCTAGTTTTGAGTGCTGACTGAATTCTATTTATTATTGGCCGATGAATGAATGTAATACAGTCCTCTACATGAAGTCAAGTACAGCTTGAATAGCTCAGTAGTAACGTCTGTTACTACAGCAGTGTAGATACCAGTTTCCTTGAGTTAGCAGATACTCCTTGTTAACGAGCTCCAAAAATGTAGGTCGTTGTATTAACAGTGCAAGTTTTTTAAACTTCTTGATGACATCTAGGTGATCAACTTCGGGAGGGATAAGTAAACAAGATAGATTAGGGTCAGCATCAATGTTCTGGATACGGTTAACTGGTTTAAGGTCTTTCTTAAATCTACGGTAAGACAGAAGAAATAGGTCAAACTGATCTAGTCACTCACTCCTTATAAGGTAGGTTACAGAAGCCGGTGAACATTGTAATACCTATGCGTTGAACTAGTTTGAGTATATTTGCTTCAAATTTAAAAAATTGGCTCGTTGCTTGAATGCCATATGTCGGATATAATACTCCATATATGCATATCTTCATCAATGCACTGAAAGGCTGCATGTAATCACTGTACAACTCGAAAAGCTTTAGCAGCAGGTGTGCTGCGGTTTGCGGTATTTTACGGGTCATGCCTTACAGTGGCTCTCAAAATCCATAATGTTCGTACACCATTCTATTTCGACAAAGGTGGGTCTGGATAGGGACAATATCAAAAACTCTGAACAAACGTTATAACCTCATCACATTTACAAATTTCATATTCAGAAGTTGCATCCAGATGGGGAATAAGCCACGCTTACATGATAACCACATCCATTCACCAATTTGACTAATTCTTGAAGCCCTATTTTCAATACTACAGATATTAGTATAGGTTACCTTTAGACCCCTTATGTCGATTGACTTTTCCCCGTAGGTCTTGATAGTATCCTTTTCCAAAATCTCAACTCTCCAATATCATAAACGATGCATTCGAACTACTCAACATTGTTTTTATATCAGTGGTCACATTCCATCAACAATAAATAAATACATCATGAGTAAGACGTTACCAAACATCTCTTTCTCTATCATTCAGACACACCTTTTTCATAAAACGACTTAAACTTTATTTATTTTCAGACAAAAAAGTTCAACATCTAAGGTCAGTCGAACTTCCCTCTTTCTTTCCTCTCACATACAAGCCGTTGTTGCACACAACCTGAAAGTTCTAAAATAGCACAAAACAAACTGTTCATTCAGTACTCCTTAATTTTTCAATAGTTCTCTCATAATTAAAACTGCCTTAAAATTCATCACTTCTTCTGAATACTCCATTGTGAATAAAAATCAAATGTTTAAGAATCAACACCCACTATTTAATGCCCACTGTACATTGAGTTTCTCTCTTTTCTAATTTCTAGAATTTTATAGACAATAATGGTGGTCGAACAGGTGGCTGGACTACAGAAGAACACTCGAAATTCTTAAAACAACTAAAAATTTATCAAATCCAAAAAGTTAAGATCAAAAATGAACAAGCTGGTTCAGACAAGTCAATCAACTGTTCTCAAGATACATCAAGTGAAATTATCAATGATCACGTACAAATGAATATTCCAGCTAATGACGCTACTGATCGAACAATGCAAAACAATGCAAATATGAAGATGACAACTCAAGATTGTGAAAGTCTCACTGCATTTCATCAGGAAGTCGCCAAAATACTCATAACTAAGACGTCAGAAGAGGTGGCTAGACATGAGAAATGGTGGGAGGAATTCCAGAGACTTGAAACTGCAAAACGTATAGCTATTCAAAAGTGGAATGAGAATCGGGTAGGTGTATATTATTAATCTTATCACAGAATATAATTTATCGCCAATAAATACGAAAATAAGTTTGAATCGTAAACTATTTAGAAGATAGTTGGTAGTCGATGATCTTTTCCAACGCACCCAACCATTAAACTCCGAATTGTTGAGCGAGGCACCAGTTCACACCAGTTCTCTTAGCAAAAGTTTGCGTTTCGGTGGTGAATAACGCACCTCAAGGATTTTTAAATCACTGCTTAACATGTCTAGAAGACTGTGTATCTTGTCAGCATTTTCACGTTACAAGATTATTTCAAACGCATACTACAGATCTCTTATGAAGAGGTGAATCCCTTTAGAGTAGAGCTAGGCGAAGAAGGTTCCCATAAACACGTCTATGACATAATTAAATAAGAGTAGAGACAGCAGACATTCTTGACGATCACCTTTCGACGTACACAACTAACCTTTGACTGTTACACGACCACTGGTGTTCGAATATGAGGCTCTGTACAGCGTTTAGTAGCGTGATGTACTTATTTGGTAACCCCTCTCCAAAAAACTTCTAGATCAGCTAAGTCAGATTCGGCCGTAAAGTCAAGAAATCCAGTTAGTGTTGGTTACTGATAAGTGTGCCTCTGCTCCAAGATCTGACAGAGTGTATGTATCTTCAGCTTGTTGAATAGCTTCGTTAGCTGTTGAACAATATGTAGCTTGACTGTCCACAGCACATTCGTTAAACTCTCAATATGGTTATTACCCCAACATCTGAGTTATAAGCAGCATTTTATGCTCAGAGAAAAGTCAGGTGTACATAGATGCTTCACAGGTTTTGCTCAGAACCCAGTGCACTAAGTAGTCTTCTTAAGCACATAGTTTCACTGCTATATGAAAGCAGTATAACCTAACCCGAAAATACTACTACTGAACACCTTGAGAAGTTAGAAACCACTCAGTCTGGTCTGTAGTATTTCGCCAAGCGGGTCAGAGTTATCTAAACACTGGACGGTCGTTTCTCTCGTTTGGCGCCGAGGTCATCGGGAGTGTACCCAGACAAATTCAGCCCATAAAGCTGAGTTAGTTCAGATCACCGGAATCTGGCTAGCTTACTTTTATGGAATGGTATGCTGTTATAACTCAAACGAAAGAGCTTTAGGGGTTTCTAACTCCTCATGTTGTTCAGCAGTAGTGTCTTTCGCTAGCTGATGACACTTTTGTATCAGAGATCATACCATATGATCTCGGCGGAGTAGTTTCCAGCGGAAACCCTGTTGACAACGCAGTTTGGTGGGAGTTTAAAAACTACTCACTCTTGACAAAATGTCAATATGGACCATGGGATTTGTAAATCATTTGTAAGTTGACCCAAACCATTCATTCGAATATTCACAAATATATTCACGAAAAGCTAAACAGAAAAAGAAGGGGAAATAAAAATCGCCTGTGGATTCAGATTGCTGATTTGTATATTTGTTGATGTAAGTGTTGGATAAAATTGTTGATATTTTGCATAAGACCAATTGCTTAGTACACCTATATTTTCAGACGGTTCAGCAGGAACCATGTCACTGAAATAAGCAATTTCAATTGTGCTACTCTCTCGCAAATAAGTAGTATGAGTGTTTTTGACAAATTTAAATGTCCTGTGACAGTGGTTTTAAAAAGTTACTTTCTCTGACATTACCTAACGCTATATTAAGGCAAATTGAAATTTCTTCGTTTCTTTTGTTAGTACTTAGTTTCATATTCAATAAATTTATTTGACGCATCGGATTATAAAGTATAGAGCGTTAAAACCTGCTAGCGAGTTATGTTTAACAGTATTATAAAAATTTCATTATTTCAGGGCGAACAAGAATTTATGATCGTTTACCCACTAAAAAAAATACCTGACTTTAATCCAGAGTAGTAGAGTCTCAATTCACTGAGTGAAAATCAATTTCATCATGATTACATGTACCCCTTACTGATGAGTGAGAACAAATATGGAACCTAGGTTAAACACGGACTCCTACAGATCGACTTCCAACATCTGTTACCAAGAGGCCAGATTGTCGTCTATAGTCTGAAGTCAGCTATCTGAGTATCTAGATTAAACTAGATTTAATCGATGAAATTTTTTCAGTACTGACAATTGGAAGACACAACATATAACTGACTATGATACTACCAGAAAATTTTATGGGATTATCATTATTTTTATTTTCTATCCTATGGTCAGTCAAATGACTTGACTTGTCAGGGTTATCATTCATGCCAAGTGGGATCATTATTTTGTAATAAATTTAGTGCATACAAAAAAGGTGTATTGGAAACTGAATACAGTTAGTTTAAGGTATAAGCAAAATTATTTTTTTGAATTTGGTTTAAGCCTGGCGTACACAAACGTATTGAGAGTTCAGTGACCAAACACACTCAAGGTTTTATTGTTTGACACTTGTAACCTTACATTGCTACTTTGGGTCGAATCGCTCAACCTATGTTGGCAAACTAGCTCCTATGTGGATGCCTCGATACCACCTGATTACTGTTTAGCTGACATTTGGCTGTCTATCAATAAACAACAAGTCGTATCCATTTCAAAAGAGGTGGCTATCATTCCCCAGTGTATAACGAACGCTTTGGAGTTTGAGGCGATGGGCAGTGGGTACGAGTCTCAGTGGGAAAAACATCTGTCATCACTAGGTGGTACAGGTGCCTACAGCCGACGAGTGAGTACCAGACAGGGCAAAACGAGCTTCATTGATTCCACTGCTAGCCACTAGGCAGACATGAACTTACTCAAAGTATGCTCTATTTTGGTTTTATGGGAGTTTATTGTAGCTGGTAGTTGAAACTTTACAAAAGCATGTTTCAATCTGTTTGAGTCTCATCAATTAGATAGGTATATGCACGTCTTGCAGTCCCCACTAAGATAATAACCAGTCCTTTTTAATGATTATCCGTTAAGTTACTGGATTGTGTTGTGATATTGTCGTTGAAAGGTGGATTTTATTAGTCTACTACTTTGTGGGACCGATGATCATCTTATGATTTTTACTTATAAGATGTTTCACAGTCACTGTTTCATAATAAGAGAGTGTCTATAAGAGGCCTAAGCTTTTTCTTTGAGCACTGTAATATCTAGTGTATGTAACACTCCGTTCAACGTCATGATCATGAAGTTAGGCTGTCTTCAAGTTGAAACTAGCGAATAACTGGATGATGACAGAGCATATTATACACCATGTTCTCCAGCATCTATGTACGTCTACATGAGTTATGGTAAGCAACAAATAGATAGTTACTCATAGAATCAGATGTATTTTACCACCTTATCAAACCATATTTATTGTTCATAAGATAGTGGATTCAGCCTTCTACCCTGTAAAATCACATAAAATTGCTTGAGGTATTACCTCAAACAGCTGTTTGAAGTCAGGCTAAGGGTACTAGGAAAGACGGACAAGTCGATTGATGAAGTTTTGGACCTTCATCGATTGAGGTAGCTTGAACATGTACCACCTACCCCGATGTGCCATGCTGGTGGAGGAAATTGGTTTAGACGATGAAATATGCCCAGTGAGTCATAAAGAAAAGAAGAGGTAGTTCAGCGAAGAAAATTTTCTTTTACGATGATATCCTTCTTCCAAAGCTGTACAGTAGTGTTTATATATATATATCAAAAACATATAAAAGTCTATTATTAAACAATAGTGTATGGTTGCATCAATAATCTAGCACCAAAAAACCGGTATCAAGACTGGGAAGTAGTTGCGTAATAATCTTTTAGACAACGGAAATAATGAGGAAGGCAGGGAGTTTAACAAGGTGAAAATTGTTGGTAGACAAGAAATGCGAATATTGATTGTCCACTTCATAAATAAATGTAAAGCAGGTGAAGAATGAAACAAGGTTCATAATGAAGGTGATAATAATAGACTAATTAATTATGATGAAATCGAAACAAGATTGTGAAAGTGTTAAGACCATGGTAAGATAAGAGATTGAACATACTTCGTTCGCACGCAGAGATTAGGTTTGAATTGATAAATTGCCATTGCTTCTGCCATAGTGCACAACTGTCGAAGCCGTACGCAACTACGTAACTACTTTCCATTCTTGATTCCGGTTTTTTAGCACTAGGTTAATGATGCAATTATACACAGTCGTTTAATAATAGACTGTTATATGTTTATGATGTAAATGAATACAACTGTACAGCTTCAAAACATGATGTCGTCGAAAAAGAAAAAGTTGGTTTAGGTTGAAAGACCGTTCAGAGTGACATCAGTCGATGAAGTCTCTTACTGTAAGTCTAAGCCGTGTGGTGAGATTCAGACTACCTGGTTAGCTGAGATCCCCGAGACAGAATAAATCTGTGGTTGATGACTGACCTCTGGTGAAATGGTTGGCAATCCGTCACAATGGCGCAGATATATTCATCACTCCTCAAAATCTTCTAAAGCTTGAATATTCATACTAACCCTCATCTTCAAATCGTTTATCCTCTCAAACTATTTTATCTTCTTTGATATCAGTTCTTTTCTATCTCCTTGTTGTTTGTATACTGCTGTGAAGTATGGTAACTTGAGCCCAATGCAAATGTGTGCGTGACGTTTTACGTTGATTTTGTTATTCAGTGTCATTTGATCGTTTGGAGTCGAGCTAGGCGAATGCCCAGTCACAGTCTAAATTATCTAAAGTAGATGTTTATTATATCTACCTTCTCTGATTATCTAATCAATCTTCGATATTTTCGATAATGCGATGTAACTCACTGGCCTAAACACTCAACTTCTAATCTTGACAACTACAGCATTCAAGCTTTGTTTTACTTATAGTGACCTAGATAGCCAGGTTGTGACTCTTGTCAAATTAAATGTATGAAAAGTTGTTGAGAATTTCTATGATCTGAAGTGTTGGTAAGATGCTGGTTGGTGTCAGCGTCAGTGTTTTAAATGGGACTCCACAATACGGAGTAATCAATTTTGTTGTTTGTTTAATCCTGTTAGCTGATTTGGTTTTATCAGTCATTTACAGTGTGACCAGTACGCTTAGAGACTTGCCACTGTGATGCACTTTGAGAGATTTTAAGTGGCTATAGTCAATATAAAATGAAGTTCTAGACCTGAGTTTAGTGCCTATTAGCACCGATCAGAGACCAAGCTTAATTTGTTTATATCACAAAGCAATACCCCTCATTCCATCAAATATACAATGGAAAATTGTATCGAAAGAGTATTGCGACACACTGAGAAACCTCAAGAAAATGACTACACAACGATAGTGTAACCAAATAAAGACTAAGGTATTGCGCTGATTCACGAAAGCGACCACATCAAAAGGATAAAGTCGATACTTAAATCCCCTTTGAGATTTAAGCTGAAAAATTGCAGCTAACATAACGTTGATTCAATCGAAAAGCAATTCACAATGTATGCTCAAAGAGCTCTTGAAAAGAAAACTAATTTGCAACTCTATACACAGTAACCTGCAACCTTGAGGGTTTCATATGCCTTTTACACGCATAGTCTGCCAAAATACGGGAGCACAATGTTCTGCTGAAACTTATGCTATGTATGATTAACTCACTTCATCACAAGTTTGCTCATCGACCTACGGAAAAATTAGAACCAACACATTAACAACTGGATGCACATGACCTGAAGAATTCATTGTAGTTTGTTGAAAATGTAAGTCTTCGAAGGTGACGATGACTCTGGAAGAATCAAAATAAGACTGGATGGAGCCTACTCTACAGCCAAGTTGATTCTACACTGTAGAGCAACGTGCTCCTTGTTAAAATCAAAAGTCCAAAGCCTCTACTCCTTGGTACTCGCAAATGTGTGCATACAAGTTTCCGTAGATGTCAGGTAGCAGTCGCATCCTAAGAAAGCAGATGAGGGAATACCTTAGATTCTTTTAAAATATACCAAAAAGGCCTACCCAACCCGGGAACAAGTGCTTCCAGTAGTGTGTTCACTCGGCATCTCAACTACACAAGGTGTGAAGAAGATATCTTAGAATCCTTTAATTTAATCAACAAACTGTCTGAAGTAAGTTGAGGCTGTAGCAATCAAACAGCTGAAACCGGAATTGTGTCAAAAGATACACTAAATATATTTTGGAAATCTCAGATCACAGATAAAGATATTCTAGGCAGACGTTTTGAAGTAATGACAAACAGTGACCATGAGTCGAATCCAAGATTCCCTTTTCATCCTTTTTAAGACCCGTCAGTTTGGCGTCCACCTTCTTCCCCGTGAGTATCGTGTCTGTAACAGTCAGCTGTTAGTAGATTTCCGTCTAGTCTGTGGGGTGGGGTGGAGGTGCGTACATAAGTGTGGATAAGTTTGCCAGTGACATGTCTACTATAACCCAGAACTCAGCACACCGCTTCAGACACCATAACGTGATTCCACACGCTACTGAACTATGATAGCTACTCTTTCTGCGACATCTGTTGTTTAGTTTTACCGGTAATGTCGAAACATCAGCACAGGAGGTTATAAGCCAATAGTCTTCGATCAGTTTAGTTCGATCAACCGTGAGAAACTACAAGCTATAGAATCAAGACTGGTTTCAAACATCCAGGCTGCTGATTACAGTCCTGCTGTTACGCAGGTTTTTATCATGTCCATCATCATTATCTAGTATCAATAACACCAGGTTGTCAAACCAAAACTGTCTCAGATAGTATTGATTGATTGAATTTGAGTTGTTTTATGCGACATTTGTTTACCAGTTTGCACATTTAGGCTATCAATCAATCAAACTACTCCTATACATTCTTTGTAACTTTTCAGAATAACACTGGAACCTTACAGTTCATCTCAGAACAATAGTTTTGGCATCGTTTGAGCTAAAGGCTTTGGTGATAAATTTATCTTTTTCATACTGTAGAACACCCTAAGCGTAAAACGTTTGTTGACGCAAATAGAAATGATATCGCACAATTAATTAGCCAGGCAACATGACATTCTTCTTAAAACATAGTTAAACTGAACGTAAAGACTGTTCCGTTCTGTGTAACTAACATATCTAAAGCAGATTGTTTTTTTTTACATAACAGATCAATAAACAATCAATAGAAAGCTGTATCTGAAGTAAGCAGCCGGATTGATGATTACCAGATGCATTTAAGCCACTGGATGGTAGAAAGTTAAATATATACATCTCCGTAAATCATACAACTTAGAGATCATCAATTCACTAAGATGTAATTCAATACGATTTGAAAATTTCTGTGGAGAAAAATAGTTTGACAATATCGTAAGCGATAGGAAGCAGCGTCAATCGAAATCGGCATCATCAAACCGTTAAAGTAATAAGCATTCAACTTCTGATCTAGTGGGCTTATTTTCTGAGGTAAAACTGTATATAAATGATATTTTTTGTCAAATAAAGTCGTCTTCGTTACACTAACGGTCCGTCTTTGTCTTTTGATTTTCGCAGCTCAGTGAAATATCAAGTCTGCGGTAGAACAGTTGTATCCAGTCCAAGTATCTCATTGTGTTAGTAGCGTTTCTCGTATGTTCGTACTACTCTGTCAGTCACTCCCACTCAGTTAGTCACTTCAGTAAGACTATTGGAATTCACAGTTTGAGGATAATAATAAAAACTTGTCATATATATATATATATAAGCTTAAGACATTGATTAATCGTAACCTAAGTAGACATTAGTGCTTCGATATTTTTTATGATGATAAGATGAATAGACACTGGTTACGCATGCACACACAGGTATTTCTTATCATTTATTCACATACATATACACATATACAGAGTAATGTTGAATACTGAACGTGATAGGCTAAAAGAAAGTGAGTTAAAAAATTATGAATGAATAACCAAGACTCAAGGTTAAAACGAGCAATTAAATTCCAATTTTGTTTACCTCAGTGAAACAAACATTGCTGATGAAAATGACGTTTATGTATTTTTTATTTCAAATGAAAAATATTAGCGTTCTAACTCACAAAACGGAAAAGGATCAGAAAGTCAGCAATCCTGTGAATCCATTGAAAAAAGTCACTACAAACCTCATTTAAAACAGCATTTTTCATTAAGTCAGTTGGAAGCAAGAAAAGCAGAATTAGAATTGTGGCGACAACAAAGACAAAAGATGAAGAAACAACAAGAATTACTGAAAAAGCAAGCCGAAATTGAATTTAAACAAACTGAATTAAAACTGACTAAAAGAAACAGGTATGCTTTAAACAAAATACAGACGTTAAGTTCACTAGATAATATCTTTTTTTAGGCCCACTGTTTATTTGATTCACCACTTGTTTGTTCGTAGAACGTGTTGCATTTTCATGATGGATTGTGCTGTGCTTAAACTTGCTTTTGATCAATGATTCAATTCCACCTCAAACAGGTCAATTAAAATACTCATATGACTTTATAGTCATCTTGGTGACTAGCAATGGAGTCCAGGATAGGCGTTTTGTCCTATTTGGAACTCACCTGGATATACCTGCACCCCAGCGAGGAGTGATCTTGTTCCCATTGGGACTGAAACCCAGTACTCATCGCTTCAAACGCCAAAGTGCTATCCACTAGGCTACTGCGGTATGATAGTCACCTCTTGTGCAATGGATATCAGTTGTTCTTATGATATTTGTAGTTCCCCGTTGCTACAGAGGGCCAGATTGCTCGACCTCTGATACCTGTTGCACAAGAGGTGGGTGGGTGCCTTACCCAAGTGGCCTAATGTATAACGAACGCTTTGGCGTATAAAGCGTGTTCAAGTCTTAGTGGAAAAAACATCACTCCTCACTGGGTTGTGCAGGTATATCCAGCTGACGAGTGAGACCCAAATCGCGTGTCTTGGATTCCTCTGCTAGTCAACAAGATGAGTACAGTATCATGAATATCCGGCGGTATCGGGGCATCCACTCAGGAGCTCATCTGCCAATACAAATCGACCAATTCAACCCTGTATATCAAAAGGAAATTAAAATATCATAACAACTACTCTATGACATTAAAATCTGAGAAGTATCAAATGTCAAATTTGACTTGTCACAAACACTATGATAAGAAAAAGTTAGCAGTACACACAGGACTTCATAAGAGAAATTTAATGAAAGAATTTAGTTTGGGATACTGCCTAATTTAACATCCATAATCCATTATCGCGCTATTGAAAAGATTGAAGTAGTATAAGATTGGAGATTGATTGGAGGATGGTAATTCCAAAATGATTAGAATGACAGTCAGTAGAAAATGTTATCAAGAGCGCAATTATGAGTTTAACATGTATTTGAGTGAACACCAACAAGTTACAATCCTTATCAAAGAACTCAAAGAAAAATAGAAGGGGGGACTAATCGACAGAACCAACGTAGAACCTCGGACATATGTGTATTGGTTCAGGTTCCCACACTTCGCACTAGTATACTAAGAACACGTCAATAGGAGAAGGGTAACATCCAAGCAGACAAAGTAGTGTGAGAGTATAAAGAAATATTGTGAATATCCAAGCTTTAGAAGATGTCTATGAGTGAATGCATCCACGCCATTGTGACCACCAAGATTCAGTCCTCAACCGCAGATTACTTTCGTCTCAGGGACCACAGTTAGCCAGGAATTCTACATCGCCTGATACGACTCAGACCAACAGTAAGAGACTTCATCGACTGATGCCACGTCTTGATCTGACGACCTTGAACTCTCTTCTGACCTAATCCAAATTCCTCCACCAGCATGGCATGTCGAAGTAGGCAGTGGATCGGCATGCAGTACACGTTCAAGCTATGTCAGTCGATGAAGGTTCACAACCTCATCAATCGACATGTATCCTCATCAAGACTGAAAAAACAAGGTAGCTGAGGAGCGTAAACGATAAAAATCTATGCGTTCCTCATATAGATGACTATAGGCTCACAAATGAGACTAATTCTACACACAAAATAAGGCTTTAAAATCTGCAACTGAAAAAGTGTTTCGTGAGCTGCCTAAATAGTTCACTAGTAACTAGCCGATCCTAAGCCCGGATAAAGAGTGAAGATTGGGCATAGGGCTAGCAACCCTACTCCATAAAACCTATCCAATCGCTAAACAAACTTCAAAGCACAAAGAAAATATAAAAAATGAAAATAAACTTATTCCTTGCTGGAATCAGGGAGACGAAATGACGCCGGTTGGTGAAAGCCTTCGGGAAGCCAATTGACCGATGTGTCTTCGCCTCTCTCGATGAAAGCGAAAGTAAGAATGGGGACATGGAATATCCGAACAATATTTGAAGCTGGCTGGCAAGGCTTCACAGATTGCAAAAGAGATGAGAAGGCTTGGCATAGAAGTGTCAGGCTGGGAATCTGCGAAAGCAGATGGAATGGAAATGGACTCTCCAAACTGTCAACTGGAGAGTCAATAATCTACTCCGATATTGTCACCCAGACGACAACCACGAGCACACTGAGTTTTCGAGTGGCTGTCATGATGTCTCCAGGAGCATCGAAGGCTCTCCATCATGCAGTGGGAACCAATCTCCTTCTGCAGGATCAGGACCATGACAGCAAGATTCAAGTGAAAAGGAGGGAAAGTCACAATCATACAATGCTACACTACACACCTACAAATAATGCAGGTCGAGAGAAGAAGGAGGAATTCTACAGACAACTACAATCAACACTGGACAAGACCCCAACTCAGTTGGCGACATCAAAATTCATTCTAATGTGTGGGGTGACATGAATGCCAAACTGGGAGCAGACAACACAGGAAGAGAACCAATCACGGGTCGAGAATCACTCGGTGAAATGATGAATAAGAATGGAGAACTGTTTGTAGATTACTGCGCATTCAATGATTTGGTGATTGGAGTCAGGCAGTGTGTACAAACACAAGAGTATTCACAAGGCAGCGACATGGATTTGATTTCACCAGACACCAGGACACACTACACTGAAAATCAGATCGACTTCATCTCAATGTGAAGAAAGTGGAGACACAGCCTACTGGACACAAGATCAGACAGATCAAGAAGGGGAGCAGATGTGGGTTCACACCACTCACTATCTACTGCAAGGAACCTGCCTTCCAAATCAAGTTGAAAGCGTCCAAAGAAGCTGGTGATAGACCACAGTTCAAGTTGAACACTCAGAACAGAAACTGAAGGACGAAACTACAAAAGACGTTCTCATGTCAGTCAGCCATCGAGATAAAATGGGAGATATCGAGCAACATCGATAAAGGAACCTGTGTGGAAGAACACTGGAACTGTTTGAAAGAGGTGTGGAAGGAAACCTGCATAACTGTGCTAGGAATGAAGAAGAAACAGGACAAGGAATGGATCTCGATGGATGCATGGAAGCTGATAGAGGAGGGAGTGGAAGATGGCGAAGTAGAAGATGAGCCAGTTCAAGGATGCAGAACTAAAAGAGGAACTGAACACAACCTATAAAACACTACAGTGGACAAGGAAGTGAATAGGAGTGTGCGCAAAGACAAAAGATACTTCTACGACACACTGGCAAGTGAAGACCAACATGCTGCAGGTAGGAGAGACAGAGACCTGACAACACTATATCAAATAACCAAGTTACTATCTGGGAGGAAAGAGATCAACACAGACGAAACCAATGAAAGATAGTGAAGGAAACCTAGTCACCAAAGAGGATAAAGAAAGAAAACGATGGGCTGACCACTTCAAAAAGCTCTTGAATCGACCACCACCTGCAACTCGTCCAGAAATACCACCAGCATCCGAAGCACAGAACTACCAGTGAACACAAGCCCTTGGAAAGATTGCAGAGAACAGAGTGGAATGGTGACGTGCTACTGGAGCCCTATGTTGCATGTTCCACTAGGAACTCAATGGACAAATAATAATAATTTTTGAGCTGAGTCAAGGTATAATTAAACCATTTGCCATTGACTTCGTAAGTATTTTTTTGGTGTCAGTGTTGTGCTCTGTGTCAAGCATATGACTATTGATTAAGCTGTAGATAGCGTTTAATCCGTTAAGTCGTTGATGTTTCGGAATATCTTCAGGGAAACGAGTAAATCTTATCTCTCTGTCCTCTGTTTTATTTTTACTAGTATAACACGTCAGTTGATAAATGCAATTTGAGATGACTATCTATTTTTTCTGACATTAATAAACACTTTCTAACGCAATGAAACAAATAACAATCAATGATAATAAAGCAACTCATATTTACTGCAAAAATCATTGTGGAATCGAGTATTCGGGCACGAAAAGAGTGTTCGAACTTTAGAGGAGAGCTAAGAAAAGTGTTAGCTAACTAGCGAATGGATGATCCTGTACTTAACAATGTCTGAATGTGGATGTAGTTCAATATCATTGTTAAGTGTGACTTGGTTTCAGCAAAACAGCCAACACCTCTTCACATGGCTAGGATCAACAGCTAGTGACTTCGTGGACTCATGCAGTATTTAGAATCTGACCACCTTCAATGTTTTCTAGCCTAAACCCACTTCATTTTACATTAAGGAAGAAAGTGATGTAGCATACATGTCGCACCCAAACAAGTTGACGAAGGCTTACAACTTCGATCACTTGCCGCTTCTATCTAAAACTCTGTGTCTATTCTCTTTACTACTTACGTAATGTTTCTATTACACATGGCTTATGCAACGAAGGTTAAAGTGATTGAAAACCTGAGGCCTACTCATTTTCTCTACCTTTTATTGCCATGTATATCATAGCAACATAGTAAGACAATTTAAACTGCTTCAGGATACTCTTGGCTTTAAATAAGTAATCAGTGTGAACCATGGCGATTGCTATAAATCATAGTAAGCTGGCAAAAGTCAGTCAGACCTTTTAATCTCTGTGCAGAAGTTTTGTCAACCATTGAAGAATGGTGGTAGAAAACCATCTGACCTAACCATTAGATAATCTCTTTGTCTCTAATTAGGATACATAAATGTATTGCATTTCCGTATATCTTTTCTGATTTCTAGGCAGAGCTGCACAACAAAATCTCAGTGTATAAAGAGAAAAAAATGGCTGAGAAATTAACTGCTCGTCAATGGCTGGCAACTCAAACTGAAGCGGAACGTTTAATACGTCAACGTAGAGTGAAAGATGCTAGTCATCGAATTCAACAAAGAGTAAGTCATCCACTAAACAGTTTCTAAGTTTATTTTTTATCAATATGACGTCTAACAAGATGGTAAACATTTTTGATAGCTGTGACATATATGGAGATTTAAAAAATCTGATTTCTTTCACTTCTATCTCATGGTTAACTATTGATGATGCTATCTGTTTTCGTAATCTGACTGACTGACAAAAAGTCAACGTGGAACCTGGCACACACGTGCATAGGCTCAAGTTACCATACACTTCACAGTAGTACACAAACAACATGTGAGTAGAAAAGGAGTGATATCAAAGTAGACAGATTTTTCTCAGACAATAAACAATTTGAAGATAAAGGTTCGTGTGAATATTCAAGCTTTAGAAGATTTTAAGGAGTGATGAAAACATCTGCACCATTGTGACGGATTTCCAGCCATGTCACCAAGACTCCTCAATCACTGATTCCTTTTGTCTTGGGGACCCCAGCCAGCCAGGCAGTCTACATCTCCCCACACTGCTTTGACTCACAGTAAGAGACTTTAACGACTGAGGTCAGATCTTGCTGTGGCCACTCTGAACCGTCTTCCAAGCTAATCCAGCTTCCTTCAGTATGGAATGTCTGGTAGATGAACTGATATTTATCCCCGATAATTTGGCATGATTGATAAGTGGTTAATTTTTTGTCTGCCAAAGGGATGATCCACATGAATTTGATATTTCTAGGATTATGAGAAACTCAAACTCAGTTTGTAATTAACAGGACAGAATTTGACAATACTGCCTAACGGTTCAAATTTCCACACCTGAGAACATCACATCAAGATGAAAGACCCTTAAAGTTGATAAAAATGACTGTTGAAACAATACGGGCGATGACTGATTAAATTGTTCATTGTTAAATTACACACAGCCTTTCTGAAATATTGAAACCTTATATTCAGCAGTCCATCCTAATAGCCTCTGCATCGTTTAAATAATTAGATAAATATTTTATTTTCATATTAGTAATTTAACATGAGAGAAGCCAGTTTACAGGCATCGTCACATTGATATATGTTGGAAAATGTACAAGATTTTACGGGTCCTGAATGGTACGGAAGGGAGGTCATTAAATTCGATTAAAAACATCAGAAGATTACACAAGTTATGAAATGAACAAGAAAATACTATTTTTCAGTATATACAGTGTTAAAGTTTAGATCGTTTCTGGTCATACTTCCTTTTCTCACCGTTGGTGGCACCAAGGTGGTGCAAAATTCTAAATTTCCGTCATTCACTTAACATGTTTGATTTGTCTTCGCAATGCTCCGTTACGCTAGATAAACGTCTATTTTACCATAAGTTCTTATGCTTATAGCCTCGGGTACCAAAAGAACCCACACTGACGATTTCGAGAATCTGTAAGTTTCCACATAATCATGTAACCCAAGTGAATATCTATTCAAGTGTTATTGTTCACAGCAACATAGATTTACGCCATCAGAATTAGATATTCTGGTGCAAAGGAATAAAACTTTTGAAAAAACTGCGGACCAGTGGCAATGCGTTTTCCATACTATTCACGTTAAGGTATGCAGCATTATCGAGGAGGTATATTCACTGTTAGATGAAGTACTAGAGAAGTCTATTGCATAGCATTATTGGGAATATGTTCACTTTAAAGTTAATAGGTGAGTTGATCTTCTAGATTTTACTGTCCGTGCAGATTTTCGTGGCTATTATTGCCGTCCAGAAATTTGAGTGATTCCAGGATTGATGAATGTTTATACGGTGAGAGGGTCAAACGAGTGAATGGGATTGGTAATTCTTACTTATTGGACAGTAATTTTCGTGGGAGCATAGTTTCATTGCTTTGAAAAAAAATGGAATGTTGAGAATTAGTAACGTATATTCCTCATTTGTGTCCTGTTGTCATCATTGAAGGTTATCTTGATGATGTAGGTCTTCGAGGTTTCAAGATGTGTTGTTATTCCCCAGTTTCTATCGCTTCATCGTCTGTTTTCTGCATTTCCTTCCTACATTTTTCCTTCCATTCTTCATAACCTCTACCAAATAGATGATTACTTGCTGCTTCTAGGGATATCAAGCTATTTGTGTTCACATACACACACAACAGTCTCTTCCTGTACCAAAAAGTTATTTCTGTAGTCGTTCTATCTTATTTACTAAAATAACTGACATTTACATGCTTTAGTCCATCTCCTTTTGCGGATCATGTAAACTGCACCATGCTTACCGGTGATGATTTACGATTCTTCCCATTTTGGCAGCAGTTTACTGATCTTGGCCTGCCTTCGGCACACTCATTCTCTACAATTTAACTTCGAAATGTTTACATTTCTGACTGACTGTGTATGGTGTCTCTCGAAATTTGACTCCGCCATTCGATTTCAGCAGGTAGTCCATCATTGCATTTTCCCCCTGAAATGTTGTAAGTATTGAAGTTATACTCACGTGGATATTATATTCGTCTTAAATAGGACTAAACTCGTATACTGGATTCCATTGCTACTGAAATAATCAGCAATATCAAAGCATTCAAGGCCGGGACCATGAGCTAGTAGTAGCTTACGAATTTGGTTTCACTAACCGCGGGAAGCCATTATCATCAAACAATGAATGGATTTTGTAATTCTGTAACCTATTATATGGCGCTTTGGTGCTTGAAGCGGTAGGTTGTGGGCCGAAGTTTCAGTGGTAACAACATCGCTCACTGGGAGACAGGTATATGCTGCTGAAGACTCCTGAAATCTACTTTGAGACAACACTTCAACACTAGTTGTTTTTGTAATTATAATTCCGGACTCCGGCATTTGTTTAACAAAAATAGATTGCTTGGATAACCCTTATTTTCTTTTCAGTCAATGAAATGGACATAATATCCATCAGATCTGTATACACTTATTTGTCTTATATTTTCTTTCCTGTCCCATAAATGCTCCCTTTTTTTTGCAATAATTAATGCAAGGACTACTGTGCCAAAGCTACCACCGTCCCTACATCCTCACTCACACACATACATACATGCATATATACATATATACACACGAAAACTGAATTGACAATCACAGTCATCGTAATCACCAATTGAAACTGTTTAAAAAGATCATGCTTATGACTATATCTTCTTTAACCTGTAATATTGTCTTTATATATCTATTGATCAACTTAACTGCCTACATCATTATCGACTGCTTCTAAAGATAATTCCTGTGAAAATAATAAAATGGAAATAGAATACGGAGCAGTTGTTCACATCTCCAGTAAAGACTTTGTTTATGAACGTTGACTTCAAAGGTAGCAAAGCAGCAGAGGTCCTGAAGAATCGGCTATCCAAATAGCTGAGGAAGATATTCTTTTCTGCGAAGCTACAGATCAGCTTCTGCAGTCAGCAATGGGTTCCTTAGTATGTTAAGGACAAGTTGACGCTTTCAGCCACTTCAAAATGCGTGTCTACAAACTTACTTGCTCATGTTGAGCTAGTTACATAGGCTGCACAAAGCGTGCACTTTTCAAACGTATCTCTGAGCACTACTCTACATAGTTGTTGAAGGGAGAATGTAAGTCAATTAACAGTTCACTTTTTGAACTCTGGACATACAGAGCTCAATCAGAGTCCTCCTTTAGTGTTATTTACACAGTCAAAGGGAATAGTTCAAAAGGAGTACGATTTCGATAGTTGTGCACTATGGCAACAGTACTGGCACTTCACCAATTCAAGCCTGATTTCTGTGTACAGAAGAAGTATGTTCAATCTCTTATACTGCTTACAAGAGATGACAAAAATTCAAATCATTTGGGATGAGCGATAGTGTTGCCAAAACTAGAATTAACGTGTACATATCTGTGCTTGTGTGCATCGTAGAATTTTGTTGAAAAACCTTAGTTATCTACAATGATCCATCACTAAAACCCGTCCTTAATCTTTAAAAACCTCTATGTCTTTTTTATATTGATCTTTTAACTTTCGAACTCTATACCGAGTAGGGGAACAGGCATCGCTCACCCGAACTCTGGAATCCTGAGTCCTTTAGGCATACTGCGTTTCTAAAACATGTATACCAGACCCGAGTAAGGTTATTAAATTGACCTCACCTGTCCACTGTAGGGAATCTTCAGATTGAAAAGGCATTATCGTTGGGTAACAGTCGGTAACTACTTCGGTTTATTAAAGATACCGAAAAAAAGAAAACGATGGTTAGTGAAACCATCACCGAAATGGATTGATCACTGATATTCTCCCACGGCAGGCGGCTAAAACGTCGGGCGCAGTTCAGCTGGGCCTCAGCTATGCTTTAGTTGCCCGACATACAGCATAAATCTGAATGGCACGCAGATATCAGTCCTCCAACTCTCCTTGAAGTTGAGAAGGCTATATGGAACCTGAAACGATGTAGAGCAGCAGGATCTGACAGTTTGCCACCTGAAGTTATCAAGGGAAAAGGCAGGAAATCGCTACTCAAAGTGATGGAAGTACTAGGTTGTGTGTGGAAACCAGAGGTAATATCATTATACTGGTCTATCTCACTTATCGTCACAGTCAATAAGAAAGGAAATAAGTCTTCTTTTGACAACCATTAGAGAAACAGTTTGATTAATATTGTAATCAAGACCCATGGATTCATAATTATCTGACGCCTAACTGGAGTTGGAGAACAACAAACTCGAGAAAATCAGGCAGGTTTCAAACCTGGAAGGGGCAAGCTTGCATCGACCATGTGTTCACCCTCTGACAGGTTATGGAACACACACATACTTAGTGATGGCCAACACGTCATGTTTCTTAACCTGAAGGCGGCATTTGACTCTATTGTATACGGAGATGTAGACTGACTGGTTGGGGTCCTCGAGACGAAAAGAATCATTGGTTCTGAACTCTTGGCGACATGACTAAGAATCAGTTACAATGCCATAGATGAATTCATAAATCTTGGACGTCTTCTGAAGCTGGGATATTCAGACCAACACTTTACCTCAAATTGTTTCTTCTCTAACAGAAACTAGTCTACTTTGATACCACTTTTTCTAT